CGGGACTCAACTTATTTTTTATTTTATTTTATTTTTTAATCACCAAGAGATACACAGGTACAAAGCTGTTTGTGATTGGATTTCAGCCGGTCATCTTAAACGTCTTGTACCTTAGATGTTGAGAAATGAAAATTAATGGCTAGCCTAGATATGCTTTAGTTAAAGAAAAAATATTGAATACTCTTCAAGCACTGCCTTTGTAATTTTCCTGATAGGGGCTAGAGCGATAACACAGTGGGTAGGGCAGCACGCGGCTGACCTGGGTTCGATCCCAGGCATCCCAAGTGGTCCCCCAAGCATCGCCGGGGGTAATTCCTGAGTGCAGAGCCAGGAGCAACCCCTGTGCAATGCCAGGTGTGACCACCCCAAAAAAAGCAAAAATAATAATCACTTGATCACTTGACATCCCGTTACTCATTGATTTGCTCAAGCGGGCACCAGTAATGTCTCCATTCGTCCCTGTCGCATGCTGGTGTAGCCCAATGGCATCTGTTCGCTCCGGGAACAGGAAGGGCCTCAAACCGATCGTTCATGATCTTGACAAAGAAGTCTGACCATCTGGTAGGTGGGCGGCCACGCGGTCTTTTGACATCCCGTGGAATCCAGTCGGTAACAGCTCTAGTCCAGCGGTCGTCTTTAAATCTCATTACGTGTCCAGCCCATCTGATTTTTGACACCTTGGCAAACAAGACAGCATCCCTGATTCTTGATCGTCGACGGATGTTGGAACTCTGGATTCTTTCTCTCATTTGAGTGTTACTCCAAGCATAGCTCTTTCGATGATAATAAAAATACTAATAATAATTTTCACGATAAATGGAAAGAAACAGTAACACATGGCTCCTAAAAAAGTTCATCTAGTATCATCGCAACCACACAACTCCCGACGGCTATGATCTGAGCAAAGGAACGGACACCCTACATGTAACTAGGCCACAGCAACCCCAGGGCACAGAGAATCACAAAGAGAGGCCTCAGGCACAGCTCAGAGTAGTAAACTCTGAAGAGACCTTGGTCCCTAAGCAAGGACGTAATTCTACTTACTGGGGCCAGAGCCACAGGTCAGCAGTGAAGGCGACCTCGATGGTGGTGAGCTCCACCAGGAGTGATCCCTGAGCACAGGGCCAGGAGCAAACCCCGAGCACTGCTGGGTAAGTCCCCACTCCCCACACAAATCACTGTCATCAATGCCATCCCATTGTTCTTTCATTTACTCGAGCGGATGTCAGTAATGTCTCCATTCCTACCAGTCCCGAGATTTTAGCAGCCTCTCCCTACTCATCTTTTCCCAATGATTGGAGGCTCTTTTGGGGTCGGGGGAATGAGACCCATCATTGTTACTGTTCTTGGCATATCGAATACACCACGGGGAGCTTTCCAGGCTTTGCCATGCGGGCGAGATACTCTCGGTAGCTTGCCGGGCTCTCTGAGAGGGGTGGAGGAATCGAACCTGGGTTGGCCATTCTAGTGCTGTGGCCAGAGGACTTTAGTTGTCTAAGACTCACTTTGCACGGTGAAGAAGCAGCTCAATCTGGGGCACTGGGGAAGTCGTGGAAAGGGTTCAGAGAGTTGCCTGTGAGAGAATCAACTTCCATTGATTCCTAAATGCATAGTTCCACACTTCAACATCTAAACACCAGATGCATCTTATAAAACAAAGTTCAATTTTATGTGTTTTTTTTCTGCACCCTGTAATGGTGTCCCAATAACAGAGCTTCCTGGAGTGAATGTGCATTGATTTCATGAAATATGCTGGACTTCACAGAGAACTTAAAGAGTTTGGACGGCAATAATTTCCCTTATTTTCAGGCCCTCACTCAGGTCACGCAGAGCTGATGTAATGTGGGTTTGATTTTGAGGAAAGTTGTAGGGATCCTTTGATGATGTGGTTGCATGGTGATGGCTAACCGTCTCTGATCTCTGACAATCGCTGAACATTTCTGATGGCCTGACTGACCACCTCTGATGACCCCACTGATCATCTCTGATGACCCCACTGGCTGTCTCTGATGACCCTCTGCGTGCACTAACCAGCTGCGTCTTAAGCAGAGTCCCCCACTACTCAGCTCTTGCAAGCCCCCTTCTGTTGCTCCATAAGGAATTCCTTCCCCTCTGTTTTCAGTGATCTCTCATCTGCAAGCCTCTAGCCCTAAGGTGAGTCCTAAGAGTCAGGCTTATCGGGGCTGGAGCAATAGCACAGCAAGTAGGGCATTTGCCTTGCACACGGCCAACCCAGGTTCAATTCCCAGCCTCCCATATGATCCCCCGAGCACCGCCGGGAGTGATTCCTGAGTGTATGAACCAGGAGTAACTCCTGTGCATTTCCGGGTGTGACCCAAAAAATGCAAAAAAAAAAAAGAGTCAGGTTTATCATTTTTCTTAATTTTCCTAGATATTCCTTTTACTTTCTGATTATTCCTTCTTTGGGCAGTGCAGTCTACAACTGAAATTGTCTCGAAGGTATTGGTTAGAGTTCTGATTAAGTTCTCTCCTATCCCCCAGTTTAATACCAGCTAACATGCCTATCAGTTCTAAGGGTTTTATGTTTACGACCAATATCTTTTTTAAAAAGAAGCTATTGCCCACAGGATTACATTTTTCTGTTTCCTGGATGTGATGGTTCAATTTTGATTTCTCTCAGTCAGCGACTACTACATAAACACAACCTAGAGACCTAAATGACATACACTTTTTCATTTGTATTTGATTTTCGCCGGCGGGGGGTGGGGGGGTGCCTGTTTGCTGTGGCTGTGAGTGCCGCCCACCAGGGTCCACACACCTCACGGTCCCCTCCTGCTCCAGCCTGTCCCCAGCTCTGGGCCCAAGTCTGTCTGTCTGTCACCTTCGGGCACGTCATTCCCCTGCCCAACTCCTTCTCTCCCACATGAGGGAGACGCCCCACGTCTGCTGGCCCCTGCGGGTCCCCAAGGCTGGGTCCTCCTGATCCAAGCTGCTCTAACAACCTCTGGCTGATCGACGGTGTCATCCTGCCCTCTAGTGGCTTAACTACACAACTGCAGGTACATTTTTAAAGGCCTGCCACACAAATTTGTTTGTTTTGACATTAAAAATTGTAGACCCTGAAAGAGTGTCTGAGAGTAATGATTTTGTAATAGTAGAATAATTATCTAAGTGCAGTTAAAAATCCATATATATAATATTGGTAATCACCTTAACTTTGACTAAGAGTAATAGTGACAAGAATTAATAGAAATACCTTAGAGAAAATAAAAGAAACTTATTAACGGAAATATTTCATAATAGCTCATTGTTCATGACTTTCAAGTTCTCATCAAACATGTATTTTAATGCTTACCAAAAAAACTACCAATTTCAATGTACACTTTTGACATTAAGAAAATTTGTGTCTTAGTACCAGGAATTTTGCTCCATGGGTTGGGGGCCAGTCACACACGCTAGGGGAAAAGGGAGCTCAGATAGAGAAGGGAGAACCAAATAAAGGGTGTTGGGAGGATCCTCCCAGGATGGGAGAAGCATGCTGAAAGAGGACTATAGACCAAACATGATTGCCACTCAATGCCTCTTTTGCAAACCAAGCACCCAAAAGGAGAGAGAGAACAAAAGGGAATGCCCTGCCACAGAGGCAGGGTGGGATGGCGGGGTTGGAGGGTAGGACGGATACTGGGATTCGTGGTGGTGGGAAATGGGCACTGGTGGAGGGATGGGCATTTGATCATTGTATAATTGAAACCCAAGTACAAAATTTGTAAGTCTACAACTGTACCTCATGGTGCCCCACAAATAAAAAAAAAAGAAAAGAGAAAAAAATAAAAGAAAATTAGTGTCATCTTTATATAAATTTCAAGACATATGTAATATATAATATCATAGAAGTTCATTATCACCTGTTGTTTCTGTACTTGTGGATCTGTACATGATTAGAATCTGAACAAGCCTTATCTGCGGGCTAAAACCCCAGCAATGACGCTTTGGATCAATTCAGTGCTACCTCACTCACTCACGGTTCCTTCACCACCCTCTTCAACACTTTCTTCACAAAAGCAGTACAGGATTGGGGCCGTAGCGACAGCACAGCGGGTAAGGCATTTGCCTTGCACGGGTCCAACCCAGGTTCCGTCCCGGCCATCCCATATGGTCCACCGAGCACCGCTAAGACTGATTCCTGAGTGCAGAGCCAGGGGCAGACCCTGAGCATCTCCAGGTGTGACCCAAAAAGAAAAAAAAGGAAAAAAAAAGGACAGGATCTAATCGTTACTACTTGAACTACAGTACCTAAATTGCATAGAGAACAAGGGGTTCTGTTTCGAGCATTTTTCACATGCGACTATGAACAGGGGAGCAGAAAGTTCTGGCGTATCAAACATCACTGCTGAGCGCGGGAACTGCCAGGCAGCTGTAAAGGCCACATCTGGGGTAGGCGAAGACAGAAATCAAGAGAGGCAAAGCCAACTCCACTCTCAGGGAACGAGGGCCAGGGGACCCCCGGCTGTAGCTGATCCCTCGACCCAGGAGAACCTCATCAGCAAGAACCACCCAGGGGACCCAGGCCAGAGGAGCCAGCGTGCACCCTGTATGCCTGGCCCAACTCCCAGGGATGGGGTGGACAGGAAGCTGACCCCTGCTCCCTCAGCCGCCTGATCACTGGGCTGTCCCGGCTGCCCCTCTGTCAGGGGAACAATCACGGAAGGATCCAAGGGCCCCAGTGGGCACTAAAGGTGGAACTGCCCACAGCTGCTGAGAGATCATGTGTCAACAGGTGCCCAGGCATGTGGCTGTTCTTAGCGAGCGAAGACCCGATCTCTCTCTGCAAGGGAGAGATCCGGACTCCACATGGGGCAGGGACACAGAAGCACCCGGAGAGTGTTGAGACGCGTCGGCTGCAGCGTGGCCCACCGCCCTCTCGGTGGTCTCAACTGGAAACCTCAGCTGGGCATCAGCCCCCCAGCCAGGGGAGGAAGCCCCCGACCTGCGGGCTGAGTCCCCTCAGGAGAAGGAGCTCACCGCCCCGCAACACTCACCAGGCTGTTCATCCTGGAGGACGCTGAGCCTGCCGAGTCGGCCCTCTGCTTCCTCGGGTCCTCCCCGGCGCTGGCCTCGCGGGGTCTGCAGCCTGTCCTGCCGCTGCCCGCCGTGCCCTCCGAGGAGGACCGCAGACGCCGCTCCACGAATCTGCCTTCCCGGTAGGGACTGAGGCTGCTGGCGAGAACTGGGAGGAACAAAGGGGGGTAATTGAATGCCGGTGACTGCAGGGTTCAGGTGGCCGGTGCACAGCCCATCGTTCCAGAACTTTCTGAACCCGGGAAGCCACTGAGACCTCACGGGGGTTGAAGGCTGAGCTCCCTGGCGCTGGAGGCTCTGGAAGTCCCAAAGTTTGGGGTCGTCTGCACTGTTTACCTTGTCCGCCAGGGCCCCCGGACTGGACCAGCACCCAACCCCCTCCTCCTTCTGACCCCATCTTCCGTCCTCAGTGCTGGGACAACTGCCCGGACAAGGCCAGCCACCTTGTCCCCCACCCCCCAACTTCCCTGTCCACCAGTTTTCTGGCACTGCCCACTCTGCAGTTCCACCCCTCAACCCTCCACTCTTCCCAGGCACTCCCAGAGAACATCGTAGGCTTGCTCCAGCCCTAGGCCCTGCCACCCCCCACCCCCAAGCCCTTGGGCAGATCTGTCCCTCCCAAACTCTGCAAGTCCTGAATAACCTGCATGTCTGTTCCAACACGCGACCTTCAGTAAGACTAAGGTCAAGATCCCAAAAGATGCAAACTGCACTGTGCTGGATCTCTGGGCCAGCACCACAGGTCTCCTTCTTGAGCATTGCCAGAATAGCCATGCTCCTTGCCACCTGCAGCACTGACCAGCCGAGGACCACCCGGAGGAGGCCCACCACATCCCCTGAGTTACCTGCTGCCCTCCCGGGAAGGAGAGCACAAACTGCAAACAACAACAAGTGAGCAAAAAACAAAAATTAAGAACGCAATCCCAATCATAAGAGCACCCGAGTCATAATCCCATTCACAAAGGCACTGCTTGAGCAATAAAACTAACCAAGAAAGTAAGAGGTCTCTACATTGGAAATTAATAGGATACTGATGTGATAGGGGCTGGAGCGATAGCACAGTGGTAGGGTGTTTGCCCTGCGTGCAACCAGCCTGGCCGAGCTGGGTTTGATTCCTCTGTCCCTCTTGGAGAGCCCGGCAAGCTACCGAGAGTATATTCAATATGCCAAACACAGTAACAACAAGTCTCAAAATGGAGACGTTACTGGGCCCGCTCGAGCAAATCGATAAACAACAGGAGGACAGTGTGGACAGGACTGATGTAATAAATGATATGAAACAGACATAAGCGTAAGGCATCCTATATTATGAACTGGAATCATTCATACTGTCCAATGTCCATATTCCTCAGAGCTGTCTAGAGACTCAATGCAGTCCCTAGGGAAGTTACTGTGACCTCGGTGAGAAGGAGAATTCAAAACTATTTGGGTGGCAACACAAAAGACACCAAAGCACCAAACCAGCTTGAGAAAGAACAGTCAACTTAGAGAGACCACATTCCCTAATTCCAAAAATAACTGACAAAGCCACAGTAATCAAAGCAATATGGTGTGAACATTGAATCCTGGCATAGAGATTAATAATGGAGTAGAAAACTCATGCAAAATTGCCCGTGCATCTTTGGGTAATTAATTTTGATAGCGGACACAATCCCTGAAGAAAAGACCATGTACTCGAGAATGGTGCTGTGAAAAATAGAAAGTCCCATGCAAAATCCCATCATGCCTTCTCTCTCAGCCAAAACTGACTCTAAACAGATTAAAGACTTGAACATAAACCCAACGACCTCAAATCTCCTTAGGAACAGCATCCAGGAAGTTCCTGGGAGGAACCTGCAACTCTCCGGGAATCTGGGCTCAAACAGAGAGCAGCGGAAACAAACTGTCTGCAAAACAAACTCAAAACTCCACAACATTTAAAAGTAAACTAAACATGGAAGAAAACATTTGCAAAAAAAAAAAAATCTGATGAGGGATTGGGATTTATATTCAAAACTTACAAGGAAGCCACAAAATTCAACAGCAAAAACAAGGAAAAGAAAAATTAATGGACAAAGACCCTATATCAACATTTTTTTCCCAAAGAAGATGGAAATATGGTCAACAAGGAGCAGAGACAGCTGAGAGGGCATCCAGCGTGGGGTGGCCAGGGTCCCTCCTGGTACCTGGTCCTCCACACTCTGCCTCCGGGATCAAGCGGGGCAGTCACTGACCACAGCCTGGTACAGGACCACAAACCAAACAACGAGAAGCAAAAACTGCAGCTGAGTCAGTAACATCAGGGAGATACAAATCCAATCTGTAAGAGAACCTTCCCTGCAGAAGACAAGAAAGACGAGAGAGTCAGTGAGGGTGTGAAGGAAGAAGCAAATCTCTCTACACCTCTGAGAAAGTCAACCTTGGGGAACCCTGGGGTGATATCCACGTGGTAAAATCAGATCCTACGAGGAACTGAATCAAATCGTCAATCTTGGATGGTTCGAGTAAAGATGGGCTCGTCCCCAAGCCCAGGTTCTCTCAAACACACAGTTCACTTGCTCTCCATCTCCTTGAAGTCTCTCTCTATTTCCATTCCGGAGAAGGCCATGTTCTCTCATACACACACTTCCTTCTTTCTCTCCTTCACATCTTTCTAAATAAGTTTCAATAAAAACTCTCTTGCTTTAAAAAAAATATTATTTTTTAAAGACAGGACACTACATCCAGTTAAGTGGTTATAACAAAAGTTTGAAAACTAGAATACCAAGAATGGCACTGTAGCACTGTCCTCCCGTTGTTCATTGATTTGCTCGAGCGGGCCCAGTAACGTCTCCATCATGAGACTTGTTACTGTGTTTGGCATATGGAATACGTTACGGGGAGCTTGCCAGGCTTTTCTGTGCAGGAAAGATACTCTCGGTAGAGTGCAGGGCTCTCCGAGAGGGGCGAAGGAATCGAACCTGGCTCAGCCGGCCGGTTACACACAAGACAAACGCCCTACTGCTGTGCTATCATTCCAGCCCAGAATACCAAGAACAAATGTTTTAATTGATACAGGATAATCTAGTATCAAATACAAAAACTCTTAAGAGAAATGAAAAATTAATGTCATTCAAAAGTTTAAAAATTGTTAAATAATACCCTTATGAGACTTGGCATTATATTATGTACTGACATCAACTTGAATCACCATTTCAATATTACTCAAGACTTCGGAAGGAGCCTGTAGTGACAGGAGCTGTATTGATGAGCCCAGATTCCAATGTGGTTGTGTTTGGCCACTCTTACACTCAGCAGGGAAGCCTGGGTCTCATCTTCCCCATTTGTAAGGGCTCCATTATTGTGAATAAATACTGGACTTGTCCTCCTGATAGTCACTGTGACTTCAGAAACCAGCCCATCTTGCACCAAGGCACTATCTGTGAAATGGGTCACAGCAAGTGCAGTGCCGGAGCACGGGACACCATATCAAGATGCACAGCCAGTGATGGCACACGGAGCACTCAGCCCAGATCTGGGAGCACGGCTGTTTAACAGCAGGGAGCACAACTTCAATAGTGGTAACGGCACTCGTGGTACAAGAAAATGGGGAATTTCTGTCAGCTACAGCCCGGCGGGTGGCATGAATTCAGTAGCACCTGCACACAGAACTCCACAATAAACCAAGTTTTATATTATGCAACACAGACTCCAGTGATTCAAAAGTTTCCACCTTTTCTTCCAAGCTAAAGAGAAGACAGCCATGGGCAGAAGCAGTTACTGGGCCACCCTAACCAAGGGAGTTAATGACAGAACAGGTCGAATCAGGACCTTCAAATGCCAAGACAGGAGCGACAGTACAACGGGTAGGACGTTTGCCTTGCATGCGGCCAACCCGGGTTTGATTCCCAGCATCCCATAGGGTCCCCCAAGCACCGCCAGGAGTAATTCCTGAGTGCAGAGCCAGGAGTAACCCCTGAGTATCGCCGGCTGTGACCCAAAAAAACAAACAAACAAAATGCCAAGGCAGAACTGATGTACGTACTCCTTCATGCCTTCCTTTTTTTTAGGTTATAGGTTGTAGTGGTGTGGGTTCCCGTGGCTACTTGTGCAAGATTACTATGGGTAACTCCCATGGCTCTCTGGGGACAAGATCACTGTGGGTAACTCCCTGGTTTATTGTACAAGATCTCCCTGCATAACTCCCTGGCGTGTTGTACAAGATCACCGTGGATTACCCTGCTGTGTTGTACAGGATCATTGTTGATAAGTCCCTGGCTTGTATGAGATCACTGTGGACAACCCTTGTGTGTTGTATAAGATCCCTGTGGATAACTCCCGGGCATGTTGTACGAGATCACCATGCCTCAACACCACCAAAGTGCCGAGACCCTCCGCCACTGTTCTTGGGCCACTTCCCTCACTTCTTAGTCATTTCAGTTTTGTGTGCAAAAGTCACATGTCCGTCATCCATCCATACTGTCCATACTGTCATTATCTCTCTACAGCAAAGGATTGTGAGACCGTCAGCTGTTTGTGCCTCCGACTTATTCCACTCAGTGTATTGCCTCCCGCCCCGTCTAAGTCAACTGCAAATATCGTGATTCCGTCTTTTCCTCTAGGGTGTAACCATCTATTGGGTATCTGAGCCTCAGTTTCTCTAACCCTCCACCGGTTGTGCCTGGGCGTTTGCTTTGCGCCAGAGCTAAGGGACAGTGTTTGTGAAGCTCATAATTCTACTGCTTCTAGATGTAGAGACCATTTCTGCTCACACATGAATCCTACTTAATGAAAGCTATGTTAAGCCACCAGGTAAAATGTCACTGTCACTGTCACTGTCATTGTCCTCCCGTTGTTCATCGACTTGCTCAAGCTGGCCCAATAAAAATGTAAATTTAAAAACTTTCTTTCACCATAAATTTTAGCTAAATCTATTCACTTTCATAACTAATAAATACCAAAAAATCTAAACTTCGCCCTGAGTTTAAAGGGGGTCGCAACTGCAAGTAAGTCAAGTTTTTTTTTTTCATTTCTGTCTGAAAGTGACAAGATTCTAATACAACTAAGAAAAAAAAATGAATAAGACAGCTTGCATACTTATTCAGTCTCATCCAGATAAACTTGATTTAAAAAAAATCAGAGAAAAATCGTAAGCAGGAAATAATGTTAGGAGTGAAAAAAATAAGGGAAAATTTTCTTTAGTGCACTGGGGTGCAGCCAGCCAGGGGGGTCGCGCTTGTTGTCCCTTAGGGGTAAGGGTGAGCGTACCTTTGGCGGGGTTCGGGTCGTGTCCACACGCTGCCCTGTGGCACAGAGGAGGGTCCCGGGCAGGGGCGATGGTCCTGGAGTCCGACACGGGGAGGCTCCCTCGGACCCGGTCGGCGCCGGCTCGCTGCTGGTCCTCGGGCGGGCCAGGCTTCCAGGGGGTGCCGGGGCCCTGGGGACCCCGGGGTCCTGTGTCTGCGAGCGGGGGCGGCTCGGGGCCAGGCGCGTGGACAGCAGCAGACCGGGCGGGGCGAGGGGACACTTCCTTGGCGTGGGCAGCGGCGGCCGGGGCGCAGGGCGGGGGGCCCGGGCTGTCGGGCCTGCAGGGTCCAGGCGAGGTGGGGGCCGCGGGGCCGGGCCCGGAGGTAGGACAACGGTTGTGCGAGGGGTCCCCGGGGGAGGCCAGCGCCTCGGCCTCGGCCTCCTCGGACAGCGAGCCCTCGGTGGGCGTGAGGAAGTCCGAGGGCGTGGGCGCCGTGGTGAGGTCGGCCGAGGGCAGCGGGGAGGGCGCGGCGGGCAGCGGGCAGCTGTCGGGCGGCGGGTGGGCGTCCAGGGGGAGGCGGGCGGGCGGCGGGGCCGGCGGGGACAGCGGGCAGTGCGACGACAAGGACTTGCCCAGCAGCCTCTTGGGGCCCGACGCGCGCGCCGGCCGCTGCGCGCGCTCCTCGGCGAAGCCCGAGTCGTCGCCCTCGCTCGGACCCGCCGCGCCCAGGCAGTTCATGAAGACGCTCTTGCTGCCCGGGGACTCCCGGGCCCTGCCCAGCTCCTCGGTCAGCGAGCGGGGCAGCCTCCGGGACCCCCGGGAGCTGCCCCCCGAGGCCGGACGCGCCCGGCCCTGGCCCTTGGTCGTGTCATCCCAGCCCGACCGCGGCGCCGCGTTGCTGCTGCTGCTGCTGCTGCTGCTGGTTGTGGTACCCAAGCCCGCAGCATCCTTTTTGGCGCGGAAACTGATGCTCGGCGTCCGGAAGATGCTGCGGCGCTTCCCGCTGCTGCCCGAGCTGGAGTTGGTGCTGTTGGAGGGTGACGAGCTGGGTCCCCCCGGCGAGGGCCACGAGGGCAGCGTCGCGTGTCGCCGGCTGAGGCTCCTCCGGAAGATGGGCAAGCGGGACACCAGCGTCGCGCGGCGGGGGCCCGGGTCCCCCATGGGGGCGCCCACGGCCAACTTAGCAGCCTGGGATGGGGCGAAAGAAAAAGAAGAAGAAGAAGAAGAGGGAGTCAGTGGGATTCAGTTAGACGGTAGATGCTCTAACAGAAAACGGCCACGCAATTGCCAGGCCCGGGAGGCTGATCCGTAAGGATTCGGATTTGCGATTTGCAGGTAGAGAAACCAACCCCGTAGTTGGCATAGAGACTTGGTGATGGCACTGAAATGGGAGGAGTTCTGATCATCTTTAAAGCAGATGCAAAAAAATTTTTTTAAGTGTTGGGTATGAGAGAGAGAAAACAAAAGGGAATGCCCTGCCACAGAGGTAGGGTGGGATAGAGGGATTTGGGGGTGGGAGGGATACTTGGATCCATGGTGGTGGAGAATGGGCACTGGTGGAGGGATGGGTATTTGATCATTGTATAATTGAAACCCAAGCACAAAGGTTTGTAAGTCTACAACTATACCTCATGGTGTCTCACTAATAAAAATTTTTTTAAAAAGGAAGGAAGTCAACTTAGGTATAAAAATGTCAAACACATCTCAATCAAGTGATAAAAATTGATCAATAGTGCTATCAATTCATTATCAAGTATCTATAATATGCTTCTTTCCGATATTAGTTTACACATGTTGTGTTTAAACCCAACATATGTTGCTTTAATTTAATCATGAGAAAAACTTAGAATTACTTGAAGGGATGAAGTTTCTCCAAAATAAAGGGGCTAAGCTATTAAAAAAAATAAATTAAAAAATAAAAAGTGTTGGGTGTGAAGAACGGTAGAGACAAGGGCCAGGAATGTCGCTCCATAGTTGGAAGCCTGTCTCATGAGCTGGGGGAGAAGGCAGCTGGGATGGAGAAGGGATCACTAAGCTCACTGATCACTAATCAGTGATGGTTGGAGGGATCACTCAGGATGTGAGATGTATGCTGAGAGTAGATAAAGAACCCAACGCGATGGCCTCTCAGTATCTGTATTGCAAACCATGATGCCCAAAAGTAGAAAGAGGGTAACAAGGAAATTGCCATAGAGGCAGGGGTGGGTGCAGGTGGGGTGGCAGGAGGGATACTGGGGACATTGTTGGTGGGACATGGGCACTGGTGGAGGGATGGGTGCTTGATCTGACTGAAACTCAGACATGAAAGCTTTGTAACTATCTCACGGGGATTCAATTTTTTAAAAAGCGTAGGGAGGGAAAACAATCACTACTGAAGACCCGTCATTGTTGCTCCCATTGATTCTATAATTTGATGCGTTGTCTCACTTTTTACCGTTTTTGCTTCTTTCTTACCTGTGGTGGGCATGCGATAGTCACGATAACTGCTCATTGTATAAAACACACACACACACACACACACACACACACACACACACACACACACACACACACCACGTGACTGGTCTGAGCTCAACAGAATCACGGACCCGGTGAGAATTTCTACTCAAAGAAAAAGCAACCAGGACAGATTCTACCTCTTGGAAACTGATTTTGGAATTTTGAGATAATCAGAGAAAAGGTCAAGGAAACTAAATGATTAAACCAGGCAGATGGACAGATGTTTTTCTTGGGGAGAGCAGGGAGCACCTAGTGGTTCTCAGGGCTTACTCCAGGCTCTGAGCTCAGGCATCACCCTGGGAAGTTTGGGTGGGGGGAGGCACGTGGGATGCCGGGGATTGAACCTGGGACAGCCGCATGCAAGGCAAGTGTCCTGCCTGCTGCACTATCACTCAAGCCCGGATATACAAAATTTTAACAAACTCTGAGTAGGAGAAACCACAGCAATGTACGGATTAAAGTTAATTCAACTGGTCATGTTAAGTTGGAATGTATACTAAGAGAAGTACAAAAGCGGGAAGTTTATGAATGATATAAAAGCCAGGGTCCAGGTAATGAAAAGGAAAGAGGGGAAGAAAGCAGCAACCAAGGTTCATCATCAGTTGGCAGGTAAAGAGAATTTAAGACTGGTCTTCTTCCTTCTTTTCAACTGTTTTCTTTATGGGTGGTTGCACTCGGCAGTGCTCAGGGCTACTCTTGGGATTGAGCGTCCTGGATGGGTTCTTCTTGTCTTGTCTGTGTCATGAATTCTTTGGCCATCATATCTGTGCACGCCTCATCAACTTAAACCTGACTATGATTTTAGCAACCCTCACTACCTAAATAAACAAGTGCTACACTCACTTACAGGCCCTCCATTTTATCATCTTTATAGGTGAATTATGAAACCAATCAAGTAAAATACATTATGTTCCTAAAACAGGCAACAGAAAAGGAGAATATGTTCTCTTTCAAATATGCGCTCATCCTGACTTCCTATCTGGTTCCAACTGACATAAAATCTAACAGATTTTCATTATATGACTTTAATGGGGGATTTTAAATGCGCTCACTGCTTCTGAATTTAAATCATCCTATGTATGAACCATTCCAGAAAATTAACGCTGAAAATATAAAGGCAATGAACTCTGGCGTGTCTTTCACATATGAAAATATCTCATTTTTCTCTCAGCAAAGATTTCCCAAAGTGGATATAAAAATAATGTAGGGATTTTTTTTGTAATTTTATAACATTTTATGATTTCGTTTATATGCAAGATTTACTTTCCATCAATGCCCACTGAAAATTTTTACTCTTAATAGAACATTAACTCCGATTGGTAGCTTTGCATGAATGTCAAGGTAATTACCGTTATTAATTAAAGATCTTAGGTATGTTACTGAAATATCTCTGGATATCTTTTTTTTTGCTATTTCTTGCATTTGTACCAGCACTGGCAAGTAAGAGTGCCTCCGTTAATAAAAATACAAAAATACAATTAAATTTTTTTAAAGCAAATATCCTAAAAATTATTCCTCCCTGTAGATACTTGGTAATACAACACATATAAGGCTACTAATGTATCTGTCCTAATTTTTGTTATTGTTGGTTTTTGGGTTTTTGTTTGGGGGTCAGAGCCAGCAGTGATCAGGACCCTTTCCCCTGACTTTGCTCTGGGCAATCCTGGAAGGCTCAGGGTACCTCAACCCCAAACCCTTACCCAGGATTGTCCACCTATACACCATGCGGAATGTGGCCCCAAACCAAAGAAAGAAGGTTTATTTCTTTACTATAAATTACAGTGACTGGATTTGCCTCACGTTTGATTCATACTGAAAAAAAAAAAAATAGAACGTTTACAATAAATAGCCTGCAGTACCTGTTACCTACCAGAAGAGGGTGGAAGAGACTTTCCTTTATAATAAAGTACCTTGTCAAAACCAGTTTAAGAATTTAGAAGTGATCAAAACTATCCCAAAATCCTCCGTGAAAATAAAAAAGTATCTTTAAATACATTTTGTAAATTAAATCAGTTTTTAACAGGCACTCATAAAAATGTATTGCCTTTTTGAGTGGAAAGACAGCTTGAAGTCCGACACAATATTTAGAATAGCAAAAATACAGTTATTTAACCTTTCCCTGTAAGCATGTAAAACACCTATATTTGAAAGGGTATTCCAATATATCAACTCAAATTCCTCTTTTATTTTGCAATGGTCTGTTTTTACTTTTATTAAAACATTAGTAGAGCACATAAACTGCTTTGATGAAAATACAACGCTGCAAAATGCACAGAAATATTGTAGCATATTGTCCCGCTGTGTGGTGTAAATAGCTAAGACTTGAGGATTCAATTTAATTTATCATATTGGCCCGCTCGAGCAAATTGATGAACAACGCGAGGACAGTACTAGAGTACTATTTTTTAGAGCAGCTCATGTTCAGAAAAGAGAAATACTGCCATCTATCCATACAAGGTGTTACAAAAACCAGAAGTTTTTAAAGTTTCTTGTTTGGGGTCCCACGGGGCAGTGCTCAGGGCTTGGGCCCAGGTGAGGGGTCACTCCTGGTGGTGCTCGGGGGCCGTATGTGGTGACGGGCAGCAGTGGGCAGGACAAGTCCCTGACCCGCGCACTATTTCTTCAGCTCCCGAGGAAAATGGTTCTCAAATACAAATAAAATTTATAACTCAATTAAAATAACCGCTGGAGCGATAGCACAGCGGGTAGGGCGTTCGCCTTACAAGCAGCCAACATGGCCGACCCGAGTTCGATTCCTCCGCCCCTCTCGGAGAGCCCGGCAAGCTACCGAGAGTATTCGATATGCCAGACACAGTAACAACAAAGTCTCCAATGGAGACGTTACTGGGCCCGCTCGAGAACCATTCAGAATTGCATCTATGCCTGTGTACATATTGTCAATACTTTAGACACCTGACATTACTAACAAACTAACGAACAAAATTAGTAAAATGGAATCCAACACTGTCATTGTATGCTTCAGTTCAAATATGAATATTAGATCAATATAACAGAAAGCAAGCACTGGTTTTCAGAGGCAGAAAAAAAAACACTAATATATCATCAAGCCATTACTGCAAAGCATTGATATTTTTCTCTAGATAGAAAAGAATAAAACATTTTGGAGGGATCACCAGGATCGATGGGAGAGGTATGCTGAAAGTAGATAAAGAACCAAACATGATGGCCTCTCAGTATCTGTACTGCAAACCATGATACCCAAAAGTAGAGAGAGAGTATAGGGGAAACTTTCTGCCATGGAGGCAGGGGAAGGGTTGGGATGGGGGGGGGGGGTATACTGGGGACATTGGTGATGGAGAATGTGCCCTGGTGGAGGGATGGGTGTTTGATCATTGTATGACTGAAATTCAAACATGAAAGCTTTGTAACGGTATCTCACAGTGATTCAATTAAAAAAAAAACAGAAAAGGGAAAGAAAACATTCACAATATAAAAGAGAAAGTTAATATATATATACATATATATACATATGTATACATATGTGTGTGTGTATAAAAGGTAAAGGTAAAGGCCCTCCTGTTGATCGTCGATTTGCTCGAGCGGGCCCAGTAACGTCTCCATTGGAGACTTTGTTGTTACTGTGTCTGGCATATCGAATACTCTCGGTAGCTTGCCGGGCTCTCCGAGAGGGGCGGAGAAATCGAACTTGGGTCAGCCATGTTGGCCGC